CATAAAGAGGAACCTAAGATATAAATATTTAACCCTATTTCCTTGGTCCATATGGCATAACATAATGATATATAAATTAGAAATACAATTCAATACCCAAAAGCCACGCAATAATTTTGGCATACGTAGAACCTGGTCACCTTCTTAACTTTACCATGTGACTGTCTTTGGCGTAAACGTACATTGCGAGCAGAGCACGTTTTTCATTTTATTGATTTTCTGTAACATAAATTTTTTTCCGCCTTAAACATGAGGCACAGCAGTTTTTAATGTATTTTATTTCGACTTTGTGGCAATACCCACAAAGTCACAATTTGCGCACGAATCCAAATTGCAGCAAATGAAAAGGTTCAAGGTTCTACGTCATTGCTTGAATGGAAACGTTAAAAAGATTTTCATTTTTCTAGTATTTACTTTGCGTGCACTTATTCACAGAAAAAAAAATACAGGAAAATAAAAAAATATATAAAGAATATATATATATATATAAATTAAATATGAACGAAATAAGAAATACTCTAAAAAGCAGGAAAAGACAAGCCACCGTAGGCTATATCAGTTACATTCTCTAGCTACAAAATTGAAAAAAAAAATAAATTACGCTTAAAAATGCTTGTAAAGTAGCACTTTGTTGCTACACTTTAACATGTATTTAGCTTTAAATACTTTACATTAAGACCGAAAAGTTTTCGGAAATTCTCATTTAAAATTCGCGCGCTGTATATTTTTCGATATTTTAAGTTTATGTAGTTTGGCAGCAATTAAGGACAATTACTATGCCAAAAATGAGCGCGATCTGTCAGACAGTTCGTTTACGGCAGCTGTTGAAACCAGTTCACCTCAGTAGTGCGTTGCGAAAAAAACAATGGAAAAAAATATTGAACAAAGAGTTTGCATCAAATTTTGTGTTTCGAACGAAATTTCGTGTGCAGAATCGTTGCGAATGCTACAAAAGGCTTATGGGGAATCAGTTTTATCGAAAACTCAAGTTTATGAGTGGTACAAAGCCTTTCAGGACGGTCGTACGACCGTCGAAGACATTTCGCAACGCACTACTGAGGTGAACTGGTTTCAACAGCTGCCGTAAACGAATTGTCTGACAGATCGCGCTCATTTTTGGCATAGTAATTAAGGACAGTGCTGCCAAACTACATAAACTTAAAATATCGAAAAATATACAGCGCGCGAATTTTAAATGAGAATTTCCGAAAACTTTTCAGTCTTAATGTATAACAATTATTTACTCATTTTTCGTATAAAATATAATTTAATACAATTTAATGCAAATCCTACTTAAGTAGCTTTCAAACAAAACTCTTAAGCTTAATTATGCAATCCCCTGATTTTCCTATATGCCGTATATATTTTAAACATTAAATCCAAAAATACTACTGCACAGCAGGTTTTTATTCAAACAAAATAAATAAATTTAAAATTTTTGCCAAAACTTGGTTGCATTTACTTGGCTTTGCGCCAAAAACTATGCTGCAAAAATTCATATTCCTGCTGTGGCAGCAATTTTCCACCAGCAGTTAGCCTTGTGCCACTTGTTCATTCAAACACGCATACGCACACACTCACACACACAAACACAGAGGCCTTTAAGTAAACATATATTCATATATATATATATATATATATATAAATATGTATACATATATACCATATGTATATGCAGAAGTTTGTGTGTGATGAAGTATGTGTATGTGTGCATAAATTTGGCTGTTGCGTAGGTTGAGTGACAATAAATTTATGTAAATACATTGCCTTTAAAAAGCTGAAATTTATTTCATTTGCTGAAAATCAAAAACAAAAAAGGACCCGAAACAGAATATGCCAAATATTTATATTTGTTTATGTGTTTGTTTATCAGAGATTTAAATTCATCCAAAGTGTAAACATGCAAAATAAAAACAAACATCAGCAAACATTAAAATCTTATTTGCAAATATTAAATAAATTTATATCAATATTACTCAAAAAATTTTTTTTTTCATTAATTTTGATTTTACTTCACTTCAATTTAGAACAAATTTTAAATTTTATAAGCAGAAAATAAATGATGATAGTCACTTTTGTCCTACTGAACAAAAAGGATTATTGATTATTTATTATCTGTAAAATTTTTGCATGAAGTATACTTTTTGGCGCAAAATGTTATCGTTGTTAAAATCCTCATTTTAATTTATTATATACCATTTCGTATTATAACATTAAATATATGAGGTATTTTATTTATTATCATTACCAATTTCAGTTGAAAGATTTTGTTAATTTATTAGAGTCATTCATACCTGATATTTCTGAATTTTTCTTATGAAAATAGCAATCCTCTCATAAGCTATTTAATAATAATACTATTGATAGTGTTACAATAGCCCATCCAAGTAATCACAGACATTATTGAATAAAATTGCTGTGACATTAACTCGCGTTTCATCAATCAAAGTAGAAACAAAAACTATCCAAATATTTTGCTTTTTTATATTTTCATTTCATTTATATATCATATTTTCTATATACAATTGACTTATACCTCTGCTCAGAAAGTAATTCAAAATGGATCTTATAGATAAAATTTCAGCACTATTTTTAAAGTTTTAAAGTTTTCAGCAAATTTATGAGCTATTTAAATTGAGTTAACTCTCCTCTGACCCAAAATTGATATTAAAACTACTTTGTTTATATAAGTATTCTCAGATATAACGGTCTCGCAGCTCCTAGCCAACTTTTAATAGTGACTGAATATAATAATTATGGATTGTATTTAAAATTTGTATTTGAAAAAAGAAGGCGTTTCTTTTTCAATACTTGTTCTGATATATATGTATTTCCATTATAGGTGAATTCTTTTTTATAGATTATGTATGATTCATTTTTTTATAAACGGGATGATTTTTAATCTTATCAATGCATCTGACATTTTTTATAAACCTCATTTTTTAAATAAAAAGGTGTCTTGAGAAAAAAACATTTAATTTTTTTAGTAGCATGCACAAATCTATAGACTTTTAAGAAATGTGCATTAGACCACTTTTAGATCAATTTTAGACCTTCGCACAGCGTAATATTAGGTTTTCACTAGCTTTGTTAGACCAGTTAACTTATTTGAGATTCAAGTAATTAAAGCAATGTCAAGTAAGTTAACTCGTTTAACGAAGCCAGTGGAAACATACTATTACGCTGTGTAAATGTTTGAAACTTTTGAATTGTAAGGATAATGAAATGAAATTATTATATTATAAATAGTTATTTTAAATAATTTCATTTAGATAATTCCTGAAATTTTTTAAAAAAAAACTACACGCATTACGTATCCACAATTTATTTCAGTTAGTTGAAATTTTAAAAAATATATCTTAAAAATATTAGGTTTTTATTTCTGACTATTATCATTAATAGGCATTTCTTATATATTTACATATAAATTATATGTAAAATTTGGTTATATATTCTAAAATTAGATTTTATGAAAGATAACATATGAGTATATTAATATATTCCACATTCAATTCTAATTCTTGTGGTAAGAATTATTAAATAAATGATTTAAATGAATTAAACTCTACAAATTACAATTATTTATTCTCTTTATTAAACAAAAGATAAACTTTCAATTTAATATTTGTAAAGATTTA